ATAATTAGAAATAGATTATAATTATTATCTTTTTCTTTAAATATTATAGCTATTTTCTCTAGTATTCTTTTCGTCTAATCTTTGGAATTTATAACCTTCCTATTTAGCTCCTTTCTAGTTAGATATAGAAAGTACCTTTTTATCCGGTATTTTAATATACTTTCCTTAAGCTCCTATATATTCCAGAATCCTTTCCAGTTTTAGGTTCTATATTTCTTAGCTTTGGAAATATATTTCTTTACTATTAGAAAATACTATTCTATCTCTTTTTCAGAAATATCTTTACTTAATATCCTTTTTACTTTTTTTTCTATTAATTCCGGAACTACTCTTAATAATATTTTAATTAGAGCCTTTTCTGCTTTAGTTTCTCTAAAAATATTATTAATTTCCTAAATTATTAAATTTAAAATAAAAGAATTAATAAGAAATCCCGGTATTTTTTTATTTCTTCTAATATTATTACTAGTTATAATATTAGGCTTTATTTTCCCTTTTTATTTTTAGTTTCTTATTCTATATTATTTAATTCCTTAACTCTAAAAACTTAATATTCTTAAACTATTACTTTTTTCTATTTTCCTATATTCTTTAAAAATAAAATAATTATAATAGTATAGGTATTCTGGTTATTTTCAGGGTTAGCAAACTTCCTATTCTATAAACTATTATTTCTATATATAATATTTATTTTTATTTTTACTAAGAATAGTTAACTAAATAGGATTTTTAGAATTCCTTTAATTAGGAAAAACATATTTTTATATCCTATTCTATTTATAACCTTAGCTTTAAGCTTTACTATTTCTATAAATCCAAATTCTATTTTAATAATAATAAATATTTAATAATCTATAGTATTATATACTATTCTACTAATATTTCTAAAGATCTTTTTAAAAAGAATATTAATTTTAGTTCTAGTATTAATTATTTCTTTATATTTAATATTTTCTTAAAGTCCTCGAAATACAAATCAGAAGTATAGAGATTATATAATATATTTATAAGCTAGTAATATCCGAATATTAATACTATTACTTTTAAATCGAATAATCCTATTAGTATTAGATACCTAAGCTAGTATTTCTAATTCTTTAAATATTCTATCTATTATATAAGCTATAGTTATTAGCTTTATAGATTTTCTAATATATCTAACTATACTTAATATAATAGTATTTCTTATTTACAAAATAATAAAATAAAAAATATTATTCTTAATCTATTAGTTCTAAAATATAGTAGCTAGATCTGGTATTTTCAAAGTATTAATAAATATTCTCGTTTCTTTCTAAGTCTTTAGAAATAAAATAATTGCTTTTTTCAGTAGCCTTATTAGAATATTATTAACTTTAGGAATCCTATACTTATTATAGTTAAGAGTATACTAGGTTTCTAATTTGTTTTATTTATTTCCGGAAATATTAATATTTATATTTTTAGCTAGGCTATTTCCTTATCTATTACTTCTTGAAATAGTATTCTTCTGGCCTCTTATATAGGATAGCTTTTCTTCTATTCTGGTTCGTTTTCGGAAAACCTCTTTGGCTATTTCTATCTCTTTTCCCTTTTTTTTTTAATAAAAAACCTGTTATAGTATTAATAGAAATACTATTTATAGCCAAATCTTAATACTATTTATTAATTCCAGAACCTGAAATATTAGTAATTCTAATATAATTTCCTCTAAGGTAAAGTAGCTATTTAGATTTTCTAGATATAACTTATTTATTTCTATATATAGATTCCGATTAGCCAGTTTCCTTTTTTCTTTCTTATTTAGTAAACTGGATATTCTTTATTAATTTCTGGATATTCTTAGATTAAGTATTTAAGTTATAATTGAATTCTTCTTTTTAGATTTGGGAAATAATTTGATTAAATTACCGGTATTTACTAGTAAGGAAAAAGGGAATATTTTCTTATTCAGGCTTAAATAGCCCTTTATACTACCTTCTATTAAATCGGTAAATATATCTATAATTTATAAGCTCTTCTATTAATAGGTAATAGAACTAAGAGATATAGATATATTCTGGATTAATATTATTATTCTTATCTCTATTATAGTACCTATAGCAAATTCGTTCTTTTGGTTCTGGGTCTATATTATAGGCTATATTAACTTGAATAATATTCTCTAATTATATTTAAAACTAACTTTTTCTAGAATATAGTTATTTAGATCCTTTACTTATTCTAGTTCAATTATTATAGCCTCTATAATATTCTTTATATCCTCTACTATAACTTCTAGTATATTCTTTCCGAAAACCCGAATTATATCTACTAGGCTATTAATACTATTATATCTACTATAATTAGCTAGATTATATAAACAGGCTACGGATATCCTCTCGAATTATAATAGTAGCTATATTAAATTGTCTTTATAGGTTCTCTTAAATTATTATAGTAATAAATAGTTTTTCCAGACTTTTTACTAGCTAGTTAATATTATCTCTTTTGGATTTACTACTTTTAGTAGATTTTATATAATTAGCTATAGGCTGGATTTTCTTCTTACTTATACTAATAATAGCTTCAGGAAATATAATAGGAGAAACCGGTAAAGAATAATTGTCTTCTAATTTTAAAACCATAATATAAACTACTATATTCAAATATTCTTATCTAAATCTGGATATATCTGGATTATTAATAATATTAAAATGGTATTTCTTTTTTTTATACTAATAGGATAATAATGTCTTCTTATATATCTTATTATATTTATAGGTAAAAATATCTATAGGTTCAAAGTTCGTATTCTTAAAAATATAATCTTTTACTAGAATAGATAATTCCCTTATAAACTCTCGGTATTAAATAATTTCATCTATTTCTTTTCTCTTTAGTAACTCTTTTAATACTCTATTAAATATATTAATATAAGATTTGGATAAGATTCCTTTATTCTAGACTTATATAATAATCCGATTAAGAAAATTATAGCTGATTTTAAGTATTTTCTAATTATATTTCCGGAATTCCTTTAATAAAGCCTTAAAAAACTTGGTTTCCTAGTAATCTTCTGGGTTATTAGTATAGTACTCTAGTATAGCCTTAATCTAATTCTTGTAAATAGGAGAAATATAATAGATAATTCTCTCTTTTTTGGTATTATCGGAAATATAATAGTTCTTATATATATTCGTATATTATTCCAAGAATATATAGATATTACTTTCCTGAAACTATAGTATTCCAGGAGCTCCTATAAGCGGTAGGTTCAAATCCGGTACTAGTATATACTTATTCTCAGCTATATTAATCTTAATAATTTCTTCTATAATTAATTATAGAGTTTCTATATTCGAGACTTCTACTAATAAGGTTCCTAAAGGACTAATTTCCCGTTTAAATATATCTTTTGATTTGGGAACCGGAATTAGGAAAAAACCGGTTAATAATAACAGATATAGTTAAGGTTCGAGTTTTGGTATTAGTAGTAATAAGATAGTAGCTTTTCTAGTCTTATTCCTATTATTTATATTCTCTTTCCTATTCCTTTGACTTAATACCTGTAATATTTTCCCTTAATTTTACTAAACTAAGTATATTTAATAGTATTATTAATAAATATAATAAAAATAATAATAATAAAAACGATTTCTCTAATTCTGCTCTTTTCTCTAATTTCTCTAAATTTTCCTTATTATTTCCACTTGATAACCTCTCTTTTTTCTAGAGATTTCTCTAATTTATCTATATGATTTCTTATTTCCGATTTCCTTTTATTTCTTTCTGATTTCTATTTACTATCTTATTTAAAATTAAGGGTATTCCCTGATTCGGGTATCCTCTTTGGATTTAGGAGCAAGCTTTATTACTAAGATTAAAGCTATTTTAATTCCGGCTTTTATTATAACTAAAAATAATATATAAATTAATAGTATAACTTTATTTCCGAATACTAAAGTCTGTTTCCAATTAAAATCTAACTTGTATTATCTTAGTATAATATTTCTTATTCCATTTCCTCTGCTTCTTTTCCTTCTATAGTTAGCCTCTATTTCTACTATTTCTATATACTATACTAGTAACTATATCTTGCAGCTAACTTGTATCCAAATTACTGGATATATCGGAAATTAATATAAGATACTGAAATTAATACTCATATATTTTTAATATTTCGGCCTTAGGCTTAAGGTATTATAATAGCCCTTTTCTCTCTAAACTTGCTAAGCTAATAATCCGCTTTATAGACCCCTCTCAGAACCTTATAAGAGTATTACCTTAACTATAAAGTTTCGATCCTCTCTGTATTACTTACTATAAAATATATGGGAGGGAAACTGTAATAAGACAAAAACCCATATAAAGTATATTAGAGTATAAAACGTAATTTAATAGTAAAATAACAAGATTAAAAGCGTAAATAGTAAGGTATAAATAGTATATAGTATACAAAAGCTTAATTAATTAAATATTAAAGAGAGATTATTCTCTAGGATTATAGAAAAACCAGTTTTCTTATATGATTTCCGCAAGTCACGTATAAAAGGCCGCGGCCTTTGCCATGTAACCTAAACCTCAAAACCGCCAAAACAACATGATTTTTGACGAGTACGGCCTGCCGTACTACAATATTTAAATACATTTCAATTAGTTTAATCTGTTAAAGGCAGTAAGCGTAATTTACTATTTGTTTTGCTTGGTTGAAATTTAATTTTCTTATATGATTTTTCAAGATCAGCCATAGAAACGTCTGGAAGAATATTAGAGAATATACGGAAAATAATAAAAGGGAATTTACCTGATAGCTTTTCCGAACTTGGGAGAGCTTTTATAGCTGGTATAGTAATTGGAAAACTCTTTGCGGTATAGTTTTTAGATAGTTGTTCGGCTATTAATTGGTATCGGGCGGAACTTTCTATCTGCTCTTTCAGAGTTTCTCCCTCTGGTAGGGTCGTTATAGGGCCTTTTGTAGCAGATCGGCTATCGGGGACACTTTCCGAAGCTGGTATATCTTCAGGAGCTTTCTTTACTTGTTAGCTTGTTATTGGGCCTTCTGCAGTTTGATGATCTCCAGGTTGGATTTGCGTTATTGGTTGGCCTTTGGGGAGGCTTTCTAACTGTGGCGGAGTTGTTGAGAGCTCCTTTGCAGGTGGGATAGCTGTGAGATCCTCCGCTAGTTTCGGGTCTCCAGATGGGCCTGTTATAGTTGGTGAGTCTTCGGAGGGGCTTTCTACCGCTGGTAAGTCCGTTGCAGGGCCTCCCGCTGGTTGCCGATCTTCCGGCAGACCCTCCAGAGTGGGCTGGTCTTTGGAGGGGACTTCTCCCGATGGCAGGTCCACTGTAGTATATGACGAAGCTTGCTGGTTGCCAGAGAGACTCTCCGGAACTGGAGATACTACTGATGCAATTGCAGTAATTGCCATTTCCGATTGCGAAGCTTTCTGTTTTGCTTTGGATTTACGGACAGGCATGTTATAAGGTATATCGAACAAGATGGTAATAAAGGTAGTAACAAAGATGGTAATGTGAGGATAAAGTGATATGAAGATGAAGTAATAAAGGCAGTAATAGGAATGAAAGGTTGCATATAAGAATTGGACTGGCCAAAGGAGAGCTCCGGGTTCCTGATACTTATCTTCCTCGAATCGAAGGATCCACAATCTCCGATTTCAGCGGTATGGGAATCATCGACCAGCGGAAGCAGATGGGATGCGGATCAAGGCAGATTCTCAGTATCCCCGCTACTCGGTATAAAAAACAGTAGCTAGCTGAAGTAAACAGGAGGGGGATTAAGGCAGATTCTCAGTATCCCTACTGCTCGGTATGAAAAACACCAATACGCCTGAAATATACCCTCTATTACAGCTTTATTATCGTATATTAGCCAGTAGATCTAGACCAGCCTATCCGTAATCTACTATAGCTATCTATATAATATATATCAAATTGCCAGAACAAGATATAGAAACTCAGTCCCTAAACCGTATCTTTCCGCCGGTATAATATAAGTTAAACTATTATTATATATTGAAAATAGCTTTTAGTAGGGTTTAGCTTGTAATTCGTATAATCTCAGAATATATATAGTAGAGGAATAGCCTATCTATTAGCTGGATCCTGCCTTATTTATATAGCTTCCTATATTTTTTATAGGCCAGGATATAATTCTAACCCATATAATATTACTATTATATAAACTCCGGATAGTCTAACTAGTTGTCCTGCCCTAACTATTATATTTATACTACTATAGTAAAGAATATATATTATATGAATTATATTATATTTAAAATAAGGTTAGAGAAATGGCTTCCTTTTATCTATTATATATTAGCTATTAAAGGGATTCTGCCCAGTTATATAGAAATATAATTATAAAAAGAGTTCTAAAAGGTATTTTCTTTAATCCGGCTTTATATTTCTCCTTATTAATTTTCTCTTCAAATAAGGCCCAGACTGAGAATTTCCGGATTTCTTATATAGGTATTATAATAGTTTTTATAGAATGGGATAATATACTATAAAAATAGAATTAAAGTTGGAATTATAGTAGCCGAAGTTTATTTAATATATAATTTAAAAAGCTCGAGCCAAGAAAACTTAAATCTGTTATTTATTCTTATATTAAGTTTATTTATTAATTATTTTTATTAGTTTTTACGAAATATCTATATTTTAATTTATTATAAATTATTATTTATTATTCTATATTACCGATTATTTATAAATTGTTATATACATATTTATAAGCCTTTAGATATATATATTTTTTTAATTTCGGTATTTCCTTTTTAGATATTTATTTAATAGAGTTTGTAATTTCGTTTTTTTTTTCTTTTCCGAAAGATTTTAGTATAAATTTTTTTAATTGCCTTAAATAATTTATAATAGGCTCTATTTTTAATATATGAATATAATAAGCTAAATATATTTATATTATAACTTTATATAAGTCTAAAATCAAAAAGTATTAATTATTTCTTTTTAGATAAAGCTTTTTTCTATTTTACTAATTAGATAGATTTCTAATTATATAGCTATATTAATTAATCTTATTCCTAAATACTAAAAATAGATTAAAAGTATAATACTCGAATTAATTTCATATATACTTTTTCCCGATCCAAGAAATATTATTAGACTATTCTCTATCTAAATACTATAAATATTACTCTCTTTTATATCTAATAAAGGAGCCTAATATAAATAGAAAATAAGAGAAATATTATAATTATACTATTTATATATTAATTAAATATTTGCAATATACTATTATTTATTTATATTATATAATAGTTAGGTTTTTCTTCTATTAATATAAAAGAATAAAGAATAAAATCTCTTTTATAAATATATATCTAGATATAATTAAATAGTAATATTTATATATATTATAGCCTATTATTTAAAATATAGAAATATATTAAGAATAATAAACTCATATATAAAATAATAATATTTATTAGAGTTATATAACCAATATTTTTCTTATTATCTAATATAAAGAAAAATTATAAATACTATAATTAAAATTCTTCTATTTTATCTAAATGGCTTATATTATATAAATTATAAGCTAAGTTCTTTCTGTTTTTATTCTTATAATTCAATATATATTATATATTATAATAGAATATAATTTTATTTTATAATATTTCTTATATCTATTTCGGCTTTTTAATATCTATTATATTAAGTAATAGAATAAATACTATTATAAATCCAATTTTATATTATAAATTCAATATTAGAATAAGCCGAATCTCTATTTATTAGAAAGCTAAAAGCTTTAACTATATATATATTATATAAAGGCTATTATATTTCTCAAATTCATTATTAGCTTTTATTTTTATTTATAGTTAATATTATTTATCTTATTTTTATTATTACTAAATCTATTTTAAATATTTTATAATATGGCTTTTTTTGAATTATTAAAAGCAAATTTTTAATTATAAATAATATAAATTCTAGCTAAAGACCTTTTAGATTCAAAAAGCCGCTCTAAATACTATTTATTTTTTCAGATTCTTATAGTAAATCCGGTATTAAAAGAAACTTTTAAAGATTTACTAGTTCCGAGTTTCTTTATAAAACCGCTTATACCGGAATATATCTTCTAATAATAATAATTCTCGGGCGACCTTTATACTAATTTATTAGCTAGAAAAGCTCCTTTTAGTAAACCCGTAATAATAGAGAATCCGCTAATTTCTCTACTAGCCTTAGAAAGTTTATCTAATGGCCGGTTAACTATAAATAGCCTAATAGCCGGTGCTCCTCCCATGCGCTTCGCTTGTGGTCGGGATAAGCAAGTATCTCGTTTAACCAAGTGTCCCATCGAGATTTTAGCCGATTCTTGATTTTTGGTATATATTACATATAAAATCAAGCATATTTGTAATGGAATTTAAGGATACTAGTTACAAAAAATACAAAGCTACCTAGAACTATATAAAATCGGTATTCGCTTATATACTATTAATTAAGCCCGTATTACTCTCCATATCTAAAGAGTCTGGAATAATAAGGAGGAGTAGACTTGAGTCTATATACTCTCCTATCCTCTCCTTTTAATACTTCCGTTTAGTAGTATTAATTACTATATCCTTATCCCCGTTAATATTAATAAAGGTATTTGGTGTCTCTAGCTAATCGGGGGCTAGATTACTAAGGGTGCCATAAGCTAGCGAACCACGAGCTATAAATCAGGGTAAAAGTCCTCCTTATAGTAAGCTCGTTTAATAATTATAGGGTATTTATTAGGTTCGCAAATTAGTACCATATCCTCTACTAGAATTAGCTCATCCTTTAGTTAATACTTTACAATTCTAGCTAGTCTAGCTTTCTTATCCTTACGAGCTTAAATCCCGGTATCCTTAAACTAATTTTTAGCTCGATTTACGGTAATAGCAAGCTTCTTTTTAGCCTTGTAAAGAGCTTCTCTATTATCTTTCTCCTTCTTCTCTTTAATCTCTATATGAAGCTCTGCTATACTAGCAAATAGCCCTTCTTTATATAAGCTTTTACGGGACTTCGCCTTGCGATTATACTTCTTATAAAGCTTTATTTAGAAAGCCTGATATTCTATTATCTAGAAATGACTTTTTTATAGTTAGATATTAACCTTTTTAACTATAGCTATCCAAGTTTCCTTCGAATTTTCTAAAAAAATAGTAAGATTATAATCTGCAAGTGCCCTAAGGATTACGGCTATATTCCACACTTTATTAGGGCAAATAGGTAATAAAGGGGAAAGATCTAAGCTTTCTTCTTTCTTAACCTCCTTAATTAATCTCTTTTTCTTTCTATATAATCGTATCTTTTTAATTCTAGCTTTGTAACTAATGGGCCATATACTAGAGCTCTTAAAGGCATTCTTAATTATATACTTTTGTATTATTTATATACGAATTAGGGTAAGATTACAGAAAAAGGAGATAATTATATATTCAAAATCGAGGGAATAGAGGGCTATATAAATCGCTATTTTATAATAGTATTTCCAGGGGCAGAATATATTAATATTAAGTAATTAAAGAACATATATTAAGTAAGAGAGAAACCAGAATAGCTTAATATTATATTCCCCGGCTTTTAATTAAAATAGTTTATAGATATATAATTCGTAACCGTTTAGGAGAAAGATTTTCCAAGGTTTATCTAGCCTAGCTCTTAAATACTTAATTAAATAATCGAGGTATTTCATAGCTATATTATTATTTATATACCCTATAGGTATATACTTAATATACTCTATCCCGATTAGGTTTTCTAATACTTAATTATCTATAATCTTCTTCTTAGAAGTAATTACAAATAGTAGAAAAGGTTTATAACTATTCATATAAATAGTCTCGATTATTATAACTAATTTGCGATTCTCAGGGCTAGCCGTATATAGCTCTTTTACCTCTATAGATATAATTACGTACTTACTAGTAGAGTAACTAATATATACTCCTGACTCGTCTATATTTAGAATATTCTTCCCCTTTATAATATAAAGCTCCTCTAGAATATTATAATATTTCTGAAACCATATTCTAATATTCTCTTCTATATAGGACTCGAGTTATATATATGCAATTAGCTTCGTTTTAATTATATAAAGTATCTTATGGTTCCGTATCCAGAGGCTAAACCAAGTGGCCAAAGGAAGTAGTTTTGAGAGAGATTCAGCCTAATTATATTAGATATATTATTAGATTTAAAAGAAGCACTTATAGCCTTCAAGTAAGCAATTACGGCTTGAACTATCTAATATATAGCACCTAAACCAGCCTCCCATTACTCGTAGTAATATTACCGAATCGCCTCCTCCTATACCTCGTTCAGGATCTTATTATTGCCACTATACGTATTATAGAGTCCTTGGGAGTTCCTCTTCTTATTATACTTGCGGAGTACCGATTTTCGCAAAAAAGCTTCCTTAATATAATATATCCTCGCAATAATAATTACTAAA